AATTCTTAAAAAAGAAAAAAAAAATACCTCTTAGGCATGCTCTCTCAGACTTTAGCCTTATCCTTCTCAGAACTGGCCTCCACACTGCTACTCAAGTGATTGTTCCTAAAAAGCAAATATGAGTCACTCCCCTGCTTAAAATCATTCCGTGGCATCTGATTACATTCAGAGTAAAGTCCATACTCCTTTAGCCTGAAATTCAGGGCCCTATGTGGTAGGGCTTTTCCATGACTGCCTCCTTCTCTTCCTGAATATTCCTGTGCTCTGGCTACCCTGAACTTCATGCTGATCTCACCAAGGTCTCCCTTTGCAGCTTCCATTCCCTTTCCCTGGAACCCCATTTTTCTCCACTTTTTAGTAATATAACCTCTTCTGGACTTTGAAACTTGTCTCAATTCTTCCTTGAAGCCTTCTCTATGCCTAGGCTAATTTACGTACCTTTAAGAAACTACTTACCAGGCTGAATTGGAATCTTTTTCTGATCAGATTCCTTCAAGACAAGGAATGTCATCTCTGTCTTTGCAGTGTATGATCCATAGTATACAGTAGGTTCTCATAAAGAACTAATTGGGGCACCTGGGTGGCTCAGTAGGTTAAGCGTCTGACTCTTGATGTCAGCTCAGGTCATGGGTTCGAGCCCTAAGTAGGGCTCTGCACTGGCAGCACAGAGCCTGCTGGGGATTCTCTCTCTCCCTCTCTTTCTGCTCCTCCCCTGCTTGCAATCTCTGTGTCTCTCAAAACTATAAACCTTAAAAAAAAAAAAAAAAAAAAACAGGCACCTAGGTGGCTTAGTCTGTTAAGCGTCCAACTTCAGCTCAGGTCATCATCTCACAGTTCGTGGGTTCAAGCCCCACATTGGGCTCCACACTGACAGTGCAGAGCCTGCTTGGGATTCTCTCTCTCTCTCCCTCTTTCTCTCGGCCCCTCCTTTAATCACTGTCTCTCTCCCTCTCTCAAAAATAACTAAACTTAAAAACAAACAATTAAGGAAGGAGAGAGACAGAAAGCTGAAGAAATTCATAAGGCCGAAGGCCTCTCTTTATGAAGCATGCAGGAAAGTAAGACAGTGGAATGGGCTGGACCAGTATGCAATTAGAGGAGAGGATTAAAGGTTTGGCACGACTGCTGTGCAGAAAGCTGACCAGGGGGAAGAAAAAGGGTGACAAGGAGCTTTAAGGAACAGTCTATCGTGTCTTTCCTCAGTGCTAAATATTAATGTCACAAATATTTTACATTCATTAGAAAAGTATTAGTATCTACCAAAGCTTATTGTGAGATCAAATCCGCTGCTGTTAAAGGGTCCTGGAGTTGGACAGGACTCTAGAGAGCGTCTTGCCCAATTCCTTCATTCTTCACATGAGGAAACAGACCCAGACAAGTCACTTTCTTAAGATGTGTAGCACAGTAATTCCAGAAATAGAGCTAGAGCGTACTTTGTCAGTCGTGTTCCTGCCTCATGTTGCCATTCACTTTATTTCAGATTTTGCTATGATTTCCTTGTTTATATAACCTAAAAAGGACACTTGGTGAAAGCTAGGAGAATGTTCCAGTAATGATAATATAGTAACTGAAAGTTTATATATCCCCTTAATTTTTTGTGTTTCATAGGAAATCTTTCCCCTGGACAATACCGCCTGGATTGTTCAAGCACTACCAAGAATTTCACGTTTTACTTTCTACTATTAATAATAAGTTTTTCCCTCCCCAAAAGTTTTTATTTCAAGTGTCATTTTGTGGAAATGGAAAAGCTAATTAGGAATGTGACTATTCAAGTCTTCCTAGGTAACTTATCAGGTTCCTTTCACACTTCTAAAGTAAATTAATAGGACTCCATACAATTAACTATATTTAAGATATTCTGGATAGTCATTAACACCTTGCACATTTTCCCCCAGAAAATGAGCCTTATAAGAAACAGATAATAAGGGATCTTGGCAATTATTTCTTTCATAAAAAGAGATCAGTAAATAATATTGGATAAAAATTTTTATCTTTAAAGAAAGACTGCTTAGGATATTCAGAGAATAAGAGCTGAATACTTTTAACCCATTAACATTTTTACATATTTCAGTGACACTGAAAAGATACTTGATTAGATAGTGCTTCCCAGCCTTAAAGCCATATGTAAGCTGTAACTCTAAGCAAACTGCATTTGCACATGTAAGTATCCACACAACATATATTTGTGTAATTTTAATATTTTCCTTCAGATTCAAATGAATATTTTATAACTTGCCTTTCACCATGTATTATGACTACCCGTTAGTTCTCCTCATGAACACTTGTTCTTTAATAAACCAGTGAGAACATTGGTAAATTTAGGAGGAGGCATAATGAAAGACACTACAATCGTCCACAAAGTAAACGCTGATAATTTATTTTTAGGAAGCAGCGGCAACAGTGCTTCGACTGGTGCTTCTTAGAGCTGAGCCAAAGACCATAATGCAGATGGGAAGGTAAGTTACATTCTAATAAAGGTCTGCTTTTTAGCAATAATAATGACATGAGAAAAAAATGTTGGTTGCACATGCTCTTGATTGAACCTTCAGAAGAGAGAACGTCTATATGTAAAAGTATAAGATCAGATGAGAATGATTAACACCAAATTCAAGATAGTGGTTACCTCTGCAAAGGGAAGGGAGAAAAACGAAGTTGGGGAAGGGTATACATGGGACATTATGGTATCTGTAACATTTTAAGCAGATGGTAGGTCTAAAGTGTTCTCATTATCTTATTCTTCATACTTTTTTAGTATACCCAAAATATTTCTTTAATAAAAAAGGAAACTTCCACTTGAAAAATCTCTAATAAGACCACTCTAAGCTATACTTGGGACATTACATGGTATGGCCTAAGCCAGTCTTGAAAACATTTTGCTAGTGAAAGAACAGGTGGAGAGTAAGAGAGCGTCTATTATTTTTAGACTCACCATTGGTTTTTTTTCAAGAGTAGGTTTCTTTTAACCTTTATACTGTAAAATAAAACAAAATACAAAAAACAAAAACCACATCAAGCAAAAGGATAACTTCATGAAGCTTTACAAGGGAACCTGCGCACCAAATGCAGCTACCACCCAAGCCAAAAATACAGAATACTTTTGGCCACGTGCCCTGTCCCATCCACAGCTTTCTCCCTCTCCCCCAAACCAACCAGTGTTCCAGCTTCTATAGCAGTTACTCACCCTGCTTCTTCATTGCCTCAACCCAAATAGGCAGCCTCAAACATGAGTGCCTAATCCTGCCGGCTCTTTTCTTTTGGTGTCTTTTAAATCTCTATATTTTCCCTCTCCATCCCTTTCTTTTCCTTACAATTTATCATTGAAGAACCTGTAGAGTGTAGAGTTTCCCACACTCTGGTATTGCCGATTGCATATTCAAAATGCAGTATACCATGTTTCAGGCAGCTGAATCCACAAGCTTGATCCCTATGGCAAGACTGTAGGTGTTTTTTTCATGAGATGGTACATGTGTCTGCTTCTGTCTCCTTTTGCCATGCTAGCAGCCATTGATATTCCTTGTGTAAAATGGTGATATTCTAATTTTGTTTTCACTTCTTAGCCAGTGCGATTTCAAAAAGACACTTTTCTCATCTAGTCATCTACAATTTACTTACCTATATTGTGCATTCTAATTTGAATCCTTTGAATACCTCTTCCTGAACTCCTGATTCATATATCCAGCTGCCTATTCCACATCTCTGTTGGACATCTGATAGACATTGCAAACTTATGTCCAAAACCAAGCCTCCCCCTGCAGTCTTCCACATATCACCTTTCCAGTTCCTCAGGCCTGAAACCTTTCTGATCCTCGACTTTTGTCTCTTTGACATCCAAATCCAGCCCGTCAGCAAATCCTGTTGCCTTTACCTTCCAAATATATCCAGAACCTGACCACCTCCACCATTAGCGTAGGAACCACACCATCATCTCTTGTCTGGGTTACTTGATACAAAGTCAAGTTCATTTTTGTCTTTGTGTTTTTTATTTTTAAGCATTTCTCTCTTAAAGTTTGATTTGATAGCATTTTATTATTAGGCAAAACATATATGTGATTCCAAAATCAAATTGAAAAAACAAGTTTCCTGCAAAAAGTCTAATTTTTAGGGGTGCCTGGGTGGCTCAGTCGGTTAAGCGGCCGACTTCGGCTCAGGTCATGATCTCTCGGTCCGTGAGTTCGAGCCCCGCGTCGGGCTCTGTGCTGACAGCTCAGAGCCTGGAGCCTGTTTCGGATTCTGTGTCTCCCTCTCTCTGACCCTCCCCCGTTCATGCTCTGTCTCTCTCTGTCTCAAAAATAAATAAATGTTAAAAAAAATTTTTTTTAAAAGTCTAATTTTTATTCTTTCCTCTCTGCACTGTTCTCCCTCTCCCCCTATACAGGTAACCATTTTGACTTAAGTTTTTAGTTTGTCATTTTCTTTTTCTTTGCTTTTTTTCCTATAAGAGACACATGCATATATATGTGCATTTTCCTTAGGAAAAAATATGAGAATGATAGATAAGTGGTAGTACATCATACACACTTTTCCTCATCTCACTTTTGTTAGTTACCAGTATATGTTGAACATCAGGTAATCAAGGTTTTTTAACTTTTAAAATTCTTTTTCTTTTTAATGTTTGTTTATTTGGGGGGGG